GCCGATCCGGTGATCCACAGCGCAAATTTGTTGTATTTCCTCAGCGACCAGCACGGATCAGCTCTAGGCATGACGAAGCGGATATCGTCCTCTTTTGGAAGACCAAACAAAGTAGTTTCGCTTTCACAACGAAGCACACAGCGTCTTCACGACATTGGTTGCAGCGTCAACAAAACTACAGTGAGACTAAAAGTTACGCCTTCTTTCTTTGCGTGAACATTTGGGCGGCGTTATGCAAATCTTCCCACATAGTGAGGTAGATATGTGGGGGCATGTTAGAACGAGCCGTTTTAGGTAGGTGTGGCTGACTCTGAACTTTTATAAAGAATATCTCTTTGGATTTGAGACTTTAGTCTTTGCAACTTTACAGATCTTCTTTATGCACCAAGAGCTTGTAACACTCCAAAGAGAAAGGAAAAATTGAAATCGCATCATATGACCCCTTTAAGGATTCATCTATATTTAATTTAGAATTTAGTGTTTGATAACTTTATTCAATTTCTGTATATTTCCTACTTGCTGAAGGGCACAGGTAGCTAAATATGACACTGGTCGTTGAATGGCTATAGTCGATGGTTAAATATTAGGAAAAAAAATAATTTCATATAGGCATCAGTAATGCATGGTGTCAGTGATACTGGCCTCCTTCAGTCATAAAAAAAGATGCCATTAAACAAATCTTAAAAATATACTGTCTTTATGTTGTTTCTACATTAATTTGAAGATTAAATGTGAAATTATTGCAATATAAAATATATTTAAATAGTTTAATGTTAGATTAGATTAATCGCAATTAATTTCAGAAAAAACATGCAATTAATTAGTTACATTTTTTAAATCGATTGACAGCACTATTTTATATCAAAATGATATAAGTTTCAATACATACATTTTCTAAGACATACAAAAAAAATTTATATGTTTTATGGGATGATGATCACCTGCATACAACGCTCGATGCTTTGGTTTCTTACTTTTTTTTTGGTCTAAAACTCAAATTACTCAATATTGATTACTCGTATGATGTTGCTTTAATGCAACAGTTCAGTAAACTTGCAATCATGCTGTAGCACTGAAAAAATATAATCTGATATTCTGGTCATATGCTGTTATTCTGCACAACGGCACTCTTGCTAGTGTGAATGGGAAATGGACTGACACCGTCACAGGTAAAGTGAACTAAAATGAGACTTGAGTCCACTTTCAAGCCCAGGGACAGTGTGAATACAAAGACAGCTTGGTTCTTTGTCACCCAGTTCACATAAAGGGGTCCAAGTCTGCTTATTTTAAAATGCTGTCTCGGTAGGTAGCTCACTAGGTTTTAAGACACAGCCCAAGATTGATGAAAACGAGGCCCGCCGATTTGCTTCCAGCACTCATGCAGCTTATATTACCAGACAAAGACCTCGACGAATCTTTCTCTCTTTAACATCCAATTTTAACTCGTGCACTCAAAAACCGCATGCAATCTTCTGAAAGTCATCCATATGCAACAGTTCCTGTCGTTTAAATAACTTTTTTTTGCAAAAGCAATGGGCCCTTAAATATAGCAAATATTCATGACCAATGTTATAAAAAGCATATAAACGCATAAAGCAAAACGAAGATCCGTTTTATTCGTTTATATTTTCCGCATCAAATATAATGCACAATCGGAACCGTATGTACTATAATAAAGCGTGTTAGCCCAGTTAGCTAGCTGCCTTTCAAACAGGTTTTGCACCGAGACCCTGCTCTAAATGTGATCAAAACGTGTCCCTCCTGCTTAAATGCGACCAGATCGAGTATTGTGCATGTGCTCGTACCGTTTTGCTAACGGATCGGACTTAAATGGCCATCTGGAAACGAAGTGTGTAAACTTTCCTCTGAACTTACAGTCCTGAAGCCCTTTGCCTTCTTAGGTGCTGTTTTTGTTGGCATAGCCAGTTAGCAAGAGGACAGAGGAAGAGGAGGTCTGAAGCCCATCAAACAGGAAACAAAGATAAATCAAATAATATGAAAAATAAATCCCATGTGCAGTGAATTATCATGCTTTTATAACGTGTTTGTACTTGGGAGATGTTTGATTGTAAGATAAGAGCACATTTATAAAACCCAAAATGGATGCGGATGTTATAAGCATGCACACAAAAGACGCATGGATACTGTGAAATCCTCATGCAAGATTTAAGAAAATAATTTAAATTACTGACATCTTTTAGAACGAGTTTCTACAATTTATCTATCTACAGTATATAGAAACGACCTGTTATATTCAGTTGACAGTCATAACACTATTCTGCTGGAGGGTTACAATCCATTGGCTTCAACACAGCATGAGTTTAGACGACAGACAGTCCTTCAAAAATGGAAAATAATCGTTCAGAATGAGACATACTTGTTTACTAACTCAGCAGAACTAATATAACAAGCAGGATGGATTTGGTTTAATGCCTGGCAGCCATTTTACATGGAAGCCAAAGCAAAGCCATCATGCAATGATGCTTTAATAGCCTGCTAGCTGAAGTGACAGGTCCTTATTACGATCTACACTAATAATTATCTAGTTAATATACCCTTCACGGTTATGCAAATTTAACAACAACAACCGTTTCGTTCTGCAAAAGTATTTCAAAAACGCTTTAGAGCGAATATGGTAAAGCTATTAGGCTAGCGACCAGGTGAGCTAGTAAGCTAACTTCCACTCAAATCGAGGTCATCCGAGCAGCTTTAATATAATCAATCTAGGATCTACTTACTATTGTGTTCTACACGTCTGGTTTTGTATATCGGTGCTTTTTCGTGCAATGGCCAATAACGAGTAAAAAACATTGAGGATTTCCCATTGCCCTGCACTGACAGAAGCAATTGACTAGGTTAGCTTGTCGGCTAACACAAGCCACTGGAGACAGACAGTTTCAATATTTCACATAAGTGATAATTAAACCGGACTGAGGGTTCACATACTAACGATCATAGAATCCATTATGTATAATTTCCTCCAGATACACGCTGAGGTTACTGGCCGGTTTTGCTGGCAAGCGCACTTATTCCATGCCAAATTATCTTATTTTCAAACGCAGATAAATGACAACTCCTTTATGCAATGATGAATTATAAATACAGAAAACATCGGTCAAAGCTGTCTACGTGGACTCAACGCCCCCCAGGTCTCACTTACGGTCGGTTGCATCCGCCTTCAACTGTCTAGTGTTGAATGAATAGCAGCGCATTGAGCGCACACAGTAAAAACTGCTCCCTCTCTGGGTCTGTAAAACTGAGCTTGGCGGTGTCTACGCCACGGGAAATCTGATTGGACAGTAATGCGCATGACGTCGAAGGAGGGTAATACGAAAGCCACGCCCATACTGAATTCCGATTGGATGGGACTCTACAGTTTCTTCGTTGACATTTTCTCATTGGTTAATTTCACAGGATCCTACCCCATGCGTCTGAGGGCGGAGCGTGCGTAGCAATATATGTAAATAATAAAGAGAAGCTCACTAATAAAAAGGTTAATGTCCATAAAGTATCAAATACATTTTGATCAACAGAGTCAAAAACTATAATAATAGCTGTTATCAGTATTTGCAAGTTTAATCAATACTTTAAAAGCACTTTCTAACGATATATGTGCATTAATACCACTTCCCCGTTGCACTGTTACATGAATGTTATCCTATTTATTTGTATCATTATTAGGCAGGGGTGTAAAATGTACTGAAATTGTGCTTAAGTTCAAGTACAGATAATATGTCAAAAAATGATACTCAGTTAAAAGTACCTAGCCAAAAATATTTGAGTGAAAGTAAACAAAAGTATCCACATTTAGTAAAAGAAACACTTTTCTTAGCTTTTTAAATTGACTTTTTACAAGAGATAATCTCAATAAATAAAATAAAATAAATTCCTGTTTAAATCAAAGTTAAGATAAAATGTGAGCATGATTAATTGGCTTGTTTGTCACATTAAGATAAAAAAAAAAACATTTAAATTTAAGAGATTTACTGTATTTTGTACAACATGAAACTGTAATAGTACTATTTTAAAAATATTATTTTTAAAAGTACTATTTTTTCATTGAATAAGCATGCAAGTATTAACATAACTCCAGTAAATTATTATGTAACTGTTATTAGAACTATTCTAAAATGCTTTTTTTTTGGAAGCAAACGGGTCAAGATTTTGAAAGTATGAATCAGCTAAATAATAAATTTAAATGTCTGTAATTAAACTACAGCTCATTAGGTTGCTGTTTGGTTTCAGGCTCTGGAACCTGTTTATCTATATTCATGCTGCCCCTACAGAATGCACTGTACAGTATGTTTTATACAGATAACTAAATGGAGAGGACTTCAAAAAAGGGTGTCACCATTTTCGTGTCGCTATCATTTTCAGGTCTCTGGGTGGACATATTTGAAGAAGTTATTTGGGTTAAATACTGTACATTTATGAAGATGGATTTTCCACCTTTTGGAAATATAAATATAATTAAGTATAGTAATTAAAAAAAATCATTATTCAGAAACAAATACATACAGAACACAAATCAATATCCTAAATGAACCAATAAATGAGACAAATTAAACAATTCAACATTTATTACAACACCCTTTTTTGAATTACACACTGTGTTCACGTCTGACTGTAAACAGTGCTTGTGTTTACAAATAACTGCACATGACATAAATTGGAGAAGGTCTTGCTCTTGCAACACATTTTAGAACGAGTTTCTACAATTTATCTATCTACAGTATATAGAAACGACCTGTTATATTCAGTTGACAGTCATAACACTATTCTGCTGGAGGGTTACAATCCATTGGCTTCAACACAGCATGAGTTTAGACGACAGACAGTCCTTCAAAAATGGAAAATAATCGTTCAGAATGAGACATACTTGTTTACTAACTCAGCAGAACTAATATAACAAGCAGGATGGATTTGGTTTAATGCCTGGCAGCCATTTTACATGGAAGCCAAAGCAAAGCCATCATGCAATGATGCTTTAATAGCCTGCTAGCTGAAGTGACAGGTCCTTATTACGATCTACACTAATAATTATCTAGTTAATATACCCTTCACGGTTATGCAAATTTAACAACAACAACCGTTTCGTTCTGCAAAAGTATTTCAAAAACGCTTTAGAGCGAATATGGTAAAGCTATTAGGCTAGCGACCAGGTGAGCTAGTAAGCTAACTTCCACTCAAATCGAGGTCATCCGAGCAGCTTTAATATAATCAATCTAGGATCTACTTACTATTGTGTTCTACACGTCTGGTTTTGTATATCGGTGCTTTTTCGTGCAATGGCCAATAACGAGTAAAAAACATTGAGGATTTCCCATTGCCCTGCACTGACAGAAGCAATTGACTAGGTTAGCTTGTCGGCTAACACAAGCCACTGGAGACAGACAGTTTCAATATTTCACATAAGTGATAATTAAACCGGACTGAGGGTTCACATACTAACGATCATAGAATCCATTATGTATAATTTCCTCCAGATACACGCTGAGGTTACTGGCCGGTTTTGCTGGCAAGCGCACTTATTCCATGCCAAATTATCTTATTTTCAAACGCAGATAAATGACAACTCCTTTATGCAATGATGAATTATAAATACAGAAAACATCGGTCAAAGCTGTCTACGTGGACTCAACGCCCCCCAGGTCTCACTTACGGTCGGTTGCATCCGCCTTCAACTGTCTAGTGTTGAATGAATAGCAGCGCATTGAGCGCACACAGTAAAAACTGCTCCCTCTCTGGGTCTGTAAAACTGAGCTTGGCGGTGTCTACGCCACGGGAAATCTGATTGGACAGTAATGCGCATGACGTCGAAGGAGGGTAATACGAAAGCCACGCCCATACTGAATTCCGATTGGATGGGACTCTACAGTTTCTTCGTTGACATTTTCTCATTGGTTAATTTCACAGGATCCTACCCCATGCGTCTGAGGGCGGAGCGTGCGTAGCAATATATGTAAATAATAAAGAGAAGCTCACTAATAAAAAGGTTAATGTCCATAAAGTATCAAATACATTTTGATCAACAGAGTCAAAAACTATAATAATAGCTGTTATCAGTATTTGCAAGTTTAATCAATACTTTAAAAGCACTTTCTAACGATATATGTGCATTAATACCACTTCCCCGTTGCACTGTTACATGAATGTTATCCTATTTATTTGTATCATTATTAGGCAGGGGTGTAAAATGTACTGAAATTGTGCTTAAGTTCAAGTACAGATAATATGTCAAAAAATGATACTCAGTTAAAAGTACCTAGCCAAAAATATTTGAGTGAAAGTAAACAAAAGTATCCACATTTAGTAAAAGAAACACTTTTCTTAGCTTTTTAAATTGACTTTTTACAAGAGATAATCTCAATAAATAAAATAAAATAAATTCCTGTTTAAATCAAAGTTAAGATAAAATGTGAGCATGATTAATTGGCTTGTTTGTCACATTAAGATAAAAAAAAAAACATTTAAATTTAAGAGATTTACTGTATTTTGTACAACATGAAACTGTAATAGTACTATTTTAAAAATATTATTTTTAAAAGTACTATTTTTTCATTGAATAAGCATGCAAGTATTAACATAACTCCAGTAAATTATTATGTAACTGTTATTAGAACTATTCTAAAATGCTTTTTTTTTGGAAGCAAACGGGTCAAGATTTTGAAAGTATGAATCAGCTAAATAATAAATTTAAATGTCTGTAATTAAACTACAGCTCATTAGGTTGCTGTTTGGTTTCAGGCTCTGGAACCTGTTTATCTATATTCATGCTGCCCCTACAGAATGCACTGTACAGTATGTTTTATACAGATAACTAAATGGAGAGGACTTCAAAAAAGGGTGTCACCATTTTCGTGTCGCTATCATTTTCAGGTCTCTGGGTGGACATATTTGAAGAAGTTATTTGGGTTAAATACTGTACATTTATGAAGATGGATTTTCCACCTTTTGGAAATATAAAT